TAATAAAGTCATGAAATGTAAAACATAGCAAAACAGCTTTTGTAAGCAACACTTACTCTGCAAGCATCCCACTATTTATTTTAACATTTGAGAGGGAGATCATTTAATCTCCTACTTAAATCATAATTAAAACAAATTGCCATGCTTTGCTAGATGTGGCCCTGAACAACTTGATGTAACTTTAAGACTGACCTTGCCTTGAGAAGGAATAGTGCCTTATGTCTTAGATTCTTCTCTGAATTGCCCTCTGACAAATCTTACACGTTTTTCCCAAGGGTAAATGTGGAAAGCTATTACAAATAATTAATCACCACAGACTTGTGTTTTAAAAATACTGACACTCATGGCAGCTAGTACTTACCACTGTGATTTTTGCACAACATCATGGTATGATACTCCCTCCCTCTTCTAGGGGAGCCTGAGACTCTGACTCAAGTTGTAGCTCATATGATTAACAAATGAAGTCCCTGCATATAAAGCAGAAGATGTGTCTGCTTGCAAGTCAGGCTTGGAGCTTCCAGAATTACTGTGATTTCCAGAAACGCAAGATAAAGGATTATCATTTTATCTGAGTAGTTTCACCTGTGGATGTTCATTACCATGAAGCAATGCAATTAATACATATCAGTTAAGTGATAAACCTTAATATACAGTCATACCTAGATGTCATGTACAGAGCTATACAGGAACTACCTATGTAACAAACTTGTTCCTGTTTTAGCTCTAAATCTATAACTTTACAGTCTTACCACCTTTCTTAAATAAAAGGTTTTGCTATAGCAAAACTGTTTACACAAGGAAGTGCTGCACCCACACTGCTGCTTTTTCTTGTGGGAAGTTCTGCTTAGGCTACAGTACTTATCACTAACAAAAACTTGATAAGAGATAAAATGCAAGATCCCTTGTACTTGTACATAGAAAATGGGAATCACTTTAGGGAACAAGACTTTTCATGCAATACATAGACCACTACTTTGTTCTGCATATGCAGCTACCACCCTCCTAGCAGACATGCCTAGAGGATGTTTTCCCTCTAGTCATCTTGTTTCTGTTGGGACAAGATCAAGAAATTGTTCATCACACCATTCTTCTCTCCCTTTTCCTGAGGCTAGCCACATATCTAAATCACAATAACGCTTCTGTCCCAGAGCATATTAGATGCTAACTTAAACATGGATAGGGGGCAGAGGCAGTGCAGGGAACTGAACAGGGGAAAAAAAAAAAAAATAAAATGCTGTCTTCATTCTTGGCAGGAAGGAAACTTTTTCAACATTTTTGTCCTCACTAAAGTCTTGTATACCACTTGATTGTGAAATAAGAGGATTTGATAGAGAAGCAATAATTATGCATGTACAGTTGCAGGTTGCTATACTAAAGGAGCAGCTACCTAATTTGGACACACCTACTTGTCAGATTGTTTTCCTAGGACCTTGCAGAAACAACCTTGGCAGACCCAGAAGTGGCTCCTGTGCTTTGCAATGTGCCAGCTAAAATAGCAGAAGTTGCTTTGCCTTAAGTCTTTTGAGGAGGAGTTTGAGTGAAATTACAGAGGAGTATGCTTTCCAAAAGCTGTATCTTAGACCACTTATGCAAGATCACTACCAGAAAGCAACTTTTCTCATGTCTGTCCAACAGGATTAGTATGGCAGACTGCAATCTACAGCACTGACATTATTGGTTGTTGAACCTTATCCTTAAATAAGGAATGAACAACTTTCAGTTCTACTGTGGCATGCCACTTCATTTGATAGAGGAATAAATGTCAAGGAGACAGAGGTAAATCACTGAGCTCATTATCTAACAGTGTCTTGTTTACCTAGAACAGATACATTTCTCAACATCTGTAGACTTCAAGTATGTGTTATGTGCTTGCTGGCTACTTTTAAAGACTTAATCGGGAATTTTGACACATAGAACCAAAAGTCTCAACTACTTCTCAACTGGCCTCTGGTGCCAGGTAGGAAGCCTTGTCCCAGATCTGAAAGTATGGCGCACTGAAGCCAGAAAGATGCACCCATTTAACAGGTTAATTGGCCACCGTTGTGGAACAGACAGGTTCAACAGCAAAACAAGAATGCCAGAGGCAAGAGTTGTTTTGAAAGAGGAATATATATCCACGCCTGTCCTGTGGGAAAATTCAAGCCTAGTATGATCAGACTCCAGGATGCACTACTTATCCCACCTAAGCAGCTTCAAATAATTGGGGGGTGGAAGGGGTGGTGTTATAAGCTATGCAAGGCAGATTCTGAAAATTGTAAGTTACTCTGAAAGCCCTGAATGGGATTCAGAGCTCTGCACAATTTAACTGCAGCTAAAGTACCTGGATGCCATGTTTAACACTGCTGACCCAGCCAGCTGTGTTTTGACAGTTAAAATCCTGGCTGATTTCACTTAAAGGAGGTTTGCCAAACTGACAAGCTAGTAAGATGCTTTGTAAAGGAACAAACCCTGACAGGCATATAGAAAGGACAAAGCTAACTCATTCCATCTGAACAGATTCATAAAAATTATAGGTAGGTTAACTGTCAGGTTTCTTAATGCTCTAGGTTTCATTTGTTCTTTACTGGTTAATCGAAGCTCCTTCCAACTTCCAGATAAAGTATTTCAAAAACTGTACTAACCTGCTCCTGCCAGATATATTTGAGTAGAATTAAATGAAAACTATTTAATTCCTTAAAAACAATAACTACATGGTTCGTAGGTTGTTTGTTTGGTTTTAAATCATGTTTTAGTTCTGTGCCATGCCACATTGCAAGTATGACCGGAGAAAAGTAGTTATTCATTCAGAATGTATCAAACACAAGCCAAGTGGCTCTACCAGTGGCTCAGGACATGCTTCTAACTGTTTTCTTAGGGATGAAACTATACTGCAATATAGGTTAACTTCCAGATTATCTTTCTGGCAAAATCCATACTACTTAAGTTAGATGCCAAAGCATCTTGTCTATTACACAGGAATTATATGCCTAAGAATGGTAGCTACCAATGCTCGAAAGAATCAGACTGTGGTTTAGACACAAACAGAAGTATCACTGACTCAGACTACCCTAGTCCAACAAGTGTTCTCTAATAGACAGCCAGTAACATGTGTTTCACAAAGATTATTGCAATGATAGACATTTCCCTCAGAATTCCCGACTATTCTGCAGCTATTAAAGTGAAAACGGGGTATTTCTAATCAGAATTGGAAGGGAAGATCATAGTCCAGACACCTTAAAACAGTATTTGCAATTTTGAACAAGAGAGATGGCAACTTCACTCCCATTTAAAAGCCGGAATTCACACTTGCACTACCCATTGGGACGGCAGAAAGGGGCATCAGTGATTCTATGAAATAGGTAAGTAAGCCCAAGTATGAAAATTAAACTCTGAGCTCCCAGTTATCCTAGATGAATACTTCAGATAAGCAATTTCACACTTCAGCTTGTTTTTGGAGACACTTTCCATCCTTCATTCAGCTATGGTAATCTATCAAGTAGGTTTAATTGCACCATTCACTTTAAGTTGAGAAACAGTCATGCAGAGACAGCTTAAAAAGAAACTGGTTTGCAACTTGTTAAGCCTATTCAAGTCTTTCAGCCAAAATCACTTTTCTTCCCAGTAGAAAGGCAAGGCAGCAATTCTTTACAGTTCATCTATACCCCCACTCAACAGAACAGCTCTTGCATCTGGTTTAAAAATACCTGATTTCTCTAAAGTAAGTCTTTCAGCATTAGGGGACCAGTCAAGAATTCACCCAATGTTACTTTAATCTGTGCTTTTTAATTACATGTAAAAATACCAGATAAGGTATATTTTGACATTACACTATACCCTGAGCAATACGCTGGCTAGCTAGCATGTTATTGGCATCATAATGAAGTCACTTTGTAAGTGGTTGGCACACTTTCATACCATTTCTATTACTTAGACACAAATAAGGGCCCACGCTTAAAAAAAAAAAAAACCAAACAAAACACACATTAGAAACAGGAACACAATCAAGTGCAGGTTAAAAATATACCAACACATTCTTTCTCAGACACTCATCTTCTTCAAAACACCAAAAAGAGACAACCAAAAAAACCCATAAAATACAAGAGCTGGAGTTACTTACAGCAGACCAGTGCTGGTAGTAACCGAAACTTCCACCTTTTACATTCCGTCTTTCAGAAAAGTGAAGAACATACTGTAGGATCACTGTTTTGAGAATTAAGTGTGATTTGTAGCCATCTTTGACAGCTTAAAGCCATCATCAATGCATTAGATGATAGAAGGCAAATATACTGTGCTGAGGTACGTAGAGATTCATCCTTCAGGGTTCAGCAAGTCTATTCATTCTCTGTTTCCCATTTTAAAACTTCTTAATCAGGAGGTTTGGTACCACCACCTATGCTCTCACCACATTTTAATATGAAAGACAGACACATGTTTATGTAGGCTACTGTAGGTTTAAGGAAAAAAAAAAAAAACACCAAGATCATTTAGCAAGACCTTTCTGTGTACACAAATGACTAATATACTTAATAGATAGAGCTGTCAGGGGTTGTAGCTAACCTTGTTTGCCAGAACAGTATCTGCTTCAGTTGATTCAGTTTCATACAAGCCAAATTTCCAAGTGAGTGTAAATAGTAGTTAGCTTTTAAAACCATGGTAACAGCAGAACCAAGTAGGAAAAGCCTAATCATTTCTCTTGGCAGATGAGAAAAAAAACCACTGTAAAAAGCTTTTTCAAATATGAAGGAACTGATCAGTTACATTAAGTTACCTAGTGGCTTACACAATACAATTCTAAACACTAGCTGCCCAAACTGTATGCGAACACAAGCAGCTTAGGCAGTAGGTGGGGACCCATAAAGTTGGTGATTCCCCACCTTTTCACAAGGAAGTTACAGGCCATCTCGAAGATGCCAATTTCATTCTGATAGATTGCTCCTTTAAGGTAATTCCAGTAGAGAAGGTGGAACTTTAAAGCAGTGTTTCAAATGACATGTTATGTATTTAAACAAAAGCAAAAACTTAATATTTCTGTGCAAATTTAGTTCTTCCACCCGTAAGTTAGGAAAGAGGTTCAACAGAAGGTTTAGGTTAACAAATCGTGTTACTTTAGAATTAACAGGCAAGTACAGCATTTTAACACTACAGTCATCTAAACAGCATGTTGTGGGCAGTGTACTACATGGAGAACTTTTAAAATATTGAGTCAGACAGATATTTTATAGAGATTTAACACCTGCCAAAGTAAATTCTGTAACAAAGTGATTTAGCATTATGCATATAACACTGATCCTTAGGCAAACATATAAACATTAAACCAATGAATCTGAGGACTGCGAGGAATGTTATAGCTGGTAGGAGTCTGCTACAAAATCTTAAAGGATGCATTGCTATGTTGCTGTAGATCTTAATTCAGGACACCAGTGAACATCTTTAGCAAGAGACCTTATACCAGCCACTTTAAAGCAAGCAGACATTTCAGAGTTTTTTGGTTGCCAGAAGTTTAATCTTGCTTCACTTCACCCTTTAATTGCCTTTTCATGCGTGAGTATGGGCTGATTGTGTCATCCATCACGAAGTCATACAGTACTTTTATCCAAGAGTTATATTGTGGCAGGTTGTCATAGTATTCAGCTGCTATTTTCTTCACCTGAAGAGGAGATAGGAGGTTTATTTACTATTGGTATTAGCACCAATCATAACTTTACAATCCTCAACCTGTAACTTGATGTAGAGCACTAGAAGTTTCATTTTAGATGTTAAGAGTCCACAGGAAAGGCTACTAGTGCCACAATGTGAAAACTTCATGAAGGAAAAAGCAACTCCCTTAAGTAACTTCACATGAAACTTTCATATTGAAGCTAAAAAACTCTGTTAACACTCTGAAGTCTGTTCACTATGCAGCCTATGGAATGATGTAGGCTCACAAATGCAAGCGGTTTGGTTGCTAGTGGAAGTGGGTGACTCAGTCCAGTGCTGACTCATAGGTGTATGCGTATCACTAAAAAGGATGTTGTAGATTCTGGGAAGAGATGTTTAACACAGCTATTTTTACACATCGTTTCAATCTCAGCACTCAGAAGAAAAAACACCTTATTTCTGAAGACAGACATCAAAGAATGAATCTTATTTCTGAGGAACATCACATCTTGTTTCTGAAGACAGACATCAAAGAATGAATATAAACTGCTGCAAAGACTTTATTCTCAGAATAACCTGCGGACTAGACCACTGTTTTAAACTAAGAGAGATGGAGTTTCAGTTAGATATCCTTACTTATATTTAAGGCCAACCACCTAAATTCTTGAAAACATGGACAGAACAAAACTAATTTTTGACTAAATTCCATAGCTGTAGACAGAAGAAAAATATTAATCTGTATAAGCAACAAACAACATCTGCATGCCTGGTTTGGAGCTGAAGATCCTTTTGATCTGTCATCACACCAATAGACTAGTGCATCTAGCCAGTACACTTATATTCAACAGTAATTATTCTCAGCTCACCAGTACCCCAGCTGGAATTAAGTGTTCAGTACTTCAGTGATCTTTAGCACACAGCATAGCAGAGTCCAGTCCAATCAAATTAACTACATTGTTCTAAAAGAAGGCTTTGTTTTCTTATTAGAGCTGTGGATTACCCAGCTCTGCTACGGGACTGTTATTTACCTCTGCAATTAAATACTTGGAGAAAAAAACAAAACTTCCCTATTTACAACTTCAGTACTGGTGCAGGAAGTGAAATGCTGGTTCACGAGCACAGATCTAGGTATTGAAGGTGAGTTAAAGCAACTTCAGCTGTATTTGAAAGATGAAATAAATCTATGACTGAGAGAAGTCACCTTTTTTCAAAAAAAGAAAAAAAACTAACACAAACCCAAAGTCTTAACAAAGCAATTACAGAATTTAACTGGCCTGCTAAAGAAGTGCTGGAGTAGTTATTTCATCTACAGGTCCACCACAGACAACAGAAATAATCAAATTTAGACTCCACCAGAGGCACAAGGTCTTAAAAGGTCTTACTATTCCCAAGTGCAGTAACAAAGCTACAAGACCAACACCACAGCTGCTGTCAAACTGCAAATTTAGTGTCTGGTGAAAAACACTTCACTGAAGATGAGTTTTAGGTGTAACCCTGGAAGCCTGCGTTCCTATGTTCCAATTGGGAAGCACATATACAATGACAATTAAGCTCCTGCTTAAAGCAAAGACTGAAGTGAGGAGAAACCCCTTTGAAAATTCACATCTGCTATTCATGCAGATGTGACAGGTCTAAGTTTTGGCTTTGAAGCCTTAATTCTGTCAAAGGACAGCTGATACTTATTTAGGATTCAATGGTTCTCACTGGAAGAAACTGAGCTGCTCCAAAACAAAGGTATTAAACATTTCCCAACAGTACAAACATTAGCAGTACCTCAAGCTGTCTCTTTTCCCCACCAGCGAACGTCAGTGATAGAAGAGACAGAAGGATAAGCATGCATTACAATATTGTCCTTAAGATTTCAAAGACAGAGCTGACAAATCTTTGAAGGTACCTGCAAATTCTTAACTAGTTTTCTGCATACTTACAAACTGAACAAATCAGAAGGCTGGGTGCAGTGACAGAAAACTAAAGCTAATGCAAAGCACAAGACATGCATTTCCTCCCCTCTCCTTTTATGGAAGAGGCTTGAGCAGCCAGCACATTGGAAGCTTCTTCAGGATACCACTAAAAAGGTTAAGTAATTACCCCTTTCATCACTCAACTTAGAAATTGTTCTCAGGGCGTTTGGGGTTTGGTTGTTGTTTATTTTTAACATCCCAACTTCCATTCTTCTAACTCTTAGTGTTCTACCCAATTTTCATGTTAAAAGTAGGGCTTATTTTAAGAAGTTATAACCTTGGAAGTAAACTTACCAGTGGAAGGCTCTTGCCAGGAATATTGGGGAAGTCATGATGTTCATTGTGATAGCCAACATTAAAAGTGAGCAAATTAAGTGGCCCATAGTAGGAATAAGTCTCATGTCCTTTTAAAAACATGTAATGTTCAGCTATGAAGTGTCCTGAAATTGGGTGCAACCCAAGCCCAAGTACTGAACCAGCAAGCATGTAAAAAGTGGATTTGACTCCCCATAAATAATATATCACGATATCAAAGGAAAGCTGAGCCAACAAATTGATTATTTCAAGTCGAGTAATGGGTTTTGGATTGATGCAGAGAGGTCTAATCGCATAGAAAAAAGGCTGAAGAACAATCCATATGAACTTCCTAAAACGGGTGCAGAAAAACCAGCCTTCAAAGTTGGTAGGAATGTCCACATCAATCCCGTCGCCTCCTAAGTAACGATGATGATCCATGTGGTATCTCTTGAAGGATATGGAGTACGGGAGACCAAGAGGGAGGTTGGCAAATATTCCAAACCATCGATTCCACATTGCTTTGCTGTTGCCAAAGGCACTATTGTGAGAAATCTCATGAATAGCCAGAGTCATGGAGTGGCTAATACAGCTTCCAAAAACATATGCCCAGAAGATTACCCATTTCCAGTCCAAATCTTTAACTAGATAAAATGCCGTCAACTGCGCAAGAACCATCAGCACAACCACCCAGATCAAGTTGTAGTCTGGCTTCATCAACGCTTTTATCTCTGGATGTTTAGCTAGATGAGAAAGAATTAAATGAAAGAGGAATTATTTAGAAGCTCTCCGCACAGCCCAATTAGATTACAAAAACAGTCATTTTTTCCCTTCCTCCCAATTAAGATTTGCCTGCAAAGGTAATGAAAACACACCACCTCTCCACCTGTGGCATTTATTGCTGTAACAAATCCTTCAGAATTAAATCATTTCAGCATTTTTCTGCTGCTCAGCAACTAGACACCTACATGGCAAGCACCAGCACCACCTCCACCCTACCCAGGAAGGAAACGGCTCTGAGCTGACAACCCACCAGTAATCCACACGGGCCCGAGTAAGCTCAGCTCCGATTTTGGCACCTTACTCGAGAAGGCGGTCGTTTACCACCGACACTGGGTGCCGCGACCACCTCCACGCACGGCACACGCCCTACTGACGCCCACCAGCGGACACCTTATCAGCTTCCCAGCTCCTTTCCTACCCGCACGAAGGGCTCTGTGGAGCGGGCAGCGGCCCACAGCCCCCCCGCGGGGAGGACTCACCGCACCGCCGTCCGGCGGCCCGGCGCGCCCCGCCCGCCTCCGGCCCCGCTC